GACTCCCGCCAACAAAAAAAACCCCCACAAAAACCGGGAAACTAAAAAACCCCCCCCCCCCCCCCCTCTCCCTCACTTTTCCATGTGTTCGACCAGCCTTCGTATCCTTACGAGGTCGTCGGAGGTCGGGTCCGCAGCATTCTCATCCTCGTCCTCCACATCGTCGACAATAGGACCGTTCCCTGTCGCGTTGCGTTGGTTAGCGTTCAGTCGAGAGAAACATATGTCTATAGAGCAGGAAACGGCTCACTACCGTGCCGCGACTGTTGTTGATTGAATCGCATGAATGAAATCGTTTGGTCAGACTCGTCGCACGCCTGCTCCCAGCATCACAGGCGGCACAAACCCGTCTGCATATGGCGTGCACGCGCACAAATTGCTGCTGCCGTCCGCTACACTTTTCCCCCCGGAAAGACAAAGACGTAGGTGCAGGGTGTTCACTCGACTGTTCAAACTGCTATGTAACACGTACCGAAGGACTAAGACAATCTCGCTCGCTGCTGCTGCTGTTGGTCGCTTACCGCTGCTGCCCCTGTACACGAGTCGTTTCCCGGCGCCTCTTTGAAGGCACCGCTGAACGGAGTCAGATGACAGCCGATTGCCGGCGGGTCCCAACAAGTCGGGGCAGTCCACAAGCGGGCGGCATGCCGAGCAGTACCTGTTTTTTTTTCATCGTGTGTTGTGCATGATGATTCGTTTTGAACTTTTACTGTTCAGGAGGTTGAGAAAGGGAATACTCTCTCTCTCTCTCTCTCTCTCTCTCTCTCTAGCGCTACTCCCTGTCCTAAACCCTGCCTCTGTCACCATCGACTCTGTACCTGAATCAGCTTATGTCCCACCCTCTACCTCTGAACCCAGATAGTTTCGTCTGAAGATGACCTAATTTCGTCTGCCCACGTATATACGTAGATCGGCTCCGAGCATTGTTACTCTCTTATCTTTTTCAGACAACTTTTTCCGACCGTTGCACCTGCAAGCCTGAGACACTCGCGCGGCATCTCTCTTGGCCGCTCCTTTGGCGTATCTGTGGATGATGGCGTTAATCACCTTCCCATCTTCCTGACTTGTCGTCGTCGTCATCGTCGTTCGCGGTGGGGGTGACATTGCAATTGTATTGTTTCGTGTTAGGTGTCGTTTTGTCACGTCCGCGTTTCCCCGCACCCGCCGTCATGGCGATAAATGTGTTGTTGAGCACCAGAGTCAGGAGCAGAGCACAAGCACAGAGGATATCTGACGTCAATCAACAGGGGCCCACGACATCACGGAAGAGCAGCCACCGGCTCAGAGAAAACGGAAGAGGGCGCTGTGCATGTTCATGCCGTTCGCTATGTACTTGATCTCACATGTGATGGTCATCCGTGTGCATCCCCAGCGTTTCATCGAGGGCTACCCTTCCTCCCAGGTCCAAGAAGTGATCCAAGACCGCGTCTGAGTTCGCGAGGTTTTACAGGGGGAGGGGCGGGGTTGCCACTCCGAGGTGAAGAAACCGGTTTCAGAAAAAAAAAAAGGTTTCGGGATATGCGTCCAAGCTGAAGGCAACATTTATTCCATCGGCTGGGTTCGACGAAGAAGACTTCCAAGCCGCGTCTAGAAAGCAACGGAGACTTGGTCAGGCAAGTCACCAACAATCCAACCAGCCTTGTCGCGAGAAAAATCCCGCCTCTTTTTTTTTACGTGCGGTGCAAACAAAGGCTTTCCAGCTTTCCCCCCCCTTCCACGGGCAACGTACCGCACTACGTTTTGCGGGGTTGGTCAAGTTGCACTTGCTTTTTCACACAACAGTGCACCCCAATCACAATCGTTCTCGTCGCCTACGCTTGCCCTCGAAACCGGTTGTGTTTCACGCTAACTCCAACTGACACAGGAAGTACCGACCACTAACACATGTGAATGATCTAGACCATCAATCTCACCGTCCTGGCCGCAAAGGGGGATGAGAGTCCTCACGGCTTGTCGGAGGAAAACCTCGTCCAGTTTGAACATGCCCAACATCTCCAACAAGGCTTCCACTGCGCCCTGCTCGTGAAAGGCTGCTACCTGCTTTCCTGCACGGAACAAGACACGTGCTGCTCAGCTGGTTTATTCCTTTTGCATCGTCCAGAAATTGTACGAAAAGACATTGCGACAGGCGTCCAGAGTAAATGGGACGGAAACAACAAAGACTCGACCAATATATGTAGAACTCCACTACTATCTCAACGCCTCAGTCAATCCTCGAAAAATGTGGTGTTTGCTTGAAAAAATTGGTTGTGTCACACACACTCACTTCCGTGCAGAAGAGAGTCGCACCGGCAGTGCATCTCGTCTAGGCAGGCAAGCAAGAAGTCTCTCTCCGAGGGCACCAGGCACGTATGAACCTGTGTTTGCATCGCCAAAGCAGTGACGAGCGGTGGAGCACTGAACAGGAAGCGCTGAGCAAGAACTCGAGCATACTTTCCACACACCAATAGCTGCTCTTCGTCACCTACATACATGTGTTTTTCGGTCAGTGGAGATACGGCGGGATTTGTTTGTCCTATCGTTCGCACTTCCTCACAACTCGCGGTCTTCTACATTGTTCTTGAAAGGTTTCCGAACCAATATAACAACGTGTGGGAGCCGGACGTACTTGAAAAATTGGTTTGCTCTGGAAGAGTACGGGTTTGTGCGAGTCAACACCAACGACAGGTGACAACGGCATGACTACCGTAGGATACATTTCACCACCTCTCCTATTTATCTATAACATAGTTTGACAGAGCCCTTCAAACGAGGGCGTAAGCGTTCGACTCAAAGGTACGTAGAAAACGAGTTTGTTCGTATGTCGACACATCAATACCACTACACACCAATGTATGTATGTACAGAGTATTTTCCTCGTAGATCACCTGCTCCATGAGATCGTATGTAGGGACGAATTTCAGGCCCCAGGATCCGCCCTGGGTGTACAAGGTGCTCGCTGATGCCCCCATGAGTGTGAAGTCCGACGAGTTGGAACTACATAAACTCTTGTGACGTATTGGACGTAATGTAGTTTGGGGTCGTTGTACTTACTTTGGTTTTCGAAGATTGCAAGAAAGTAAGTCTTCCGCACCGCAATTGTGCCATCCTACGTGTAAGCGTCGTACTACACAACAATACCAATCACGTTGAATCGTTCGAGCGTTCCACCTTCTGCACGACGACAGCACCACTACTTGCGTACGTGGTCTACTGCTGTACACGTGCGTACCATACCGTGAGGTTCCGCGAACATTTCTCTCAAAATGTGTCCCTCCCGTTCTCGCTGTGTCAAAGTGCAGTCTTACTATTATGGGCGGGCCAGTGTGTCTAAATACCGGGCGATAAACATCCTCAACAACTGCAATCCTATCGTGACAAGAGGCAGGGTGCGTCAATGATCGTCCCCACGTTGCATACCTCTTCGAACATGTAGTCTATGCTTCCGACCTCTTCGTGCGTCGGGCTCGTCGATTTGTCTTTTTGATATTATTGGCAGTTTCATGGGTTTCCATGTCGTGTTTTTTTTCGTGATGTGCCGCCGAGAAAAACCAAATTCCGCCGCATTTTTGGGTTCCTTCTCGCAGTTCAGCAGCTTGTGCGAGCACGGACCTTCTCCACCTGAAACACAAGCCCCCCGCACCAACAACCCCCCCCCCGCGCGCGCGCGACCACCCCTCATCGTCTGTGGTTTCCTCCTGCTTGATCGCAGTTCTCCACCGGCTATCTCCCCGTCCTGAACTCTCAAAAGTAAACGTCCGCGGCAAGATCAACGTCGAAAGGGCAGAAATTCCAGAAACTTCAAACTGCAGCGAAGATCACAGATCGTACCTCCTATCTAATAGGTCGCTGTCTTCCTTTTCCGAGAGACTGCACATACCTCTCGGTCGCAAGAGCGCCTGGAAGGAACCAGAAAGGATGAAGTCACGGGGCGGCTTGGCGCTGGGGGTTGTTATCGCCTCCACGCTGTGCTGCGGCGGCAAGGGTTTTCACCAGCCGGGTGTGACCAGGATCCAACAGCAGCAGCGCAGATCGTCAGCGGCAACATTCCAGACGGGAAGAAGGTAGGCCGGAGCGGCGCATTTCCCATGTGGACGCATAGTAGGGGTTTCACCACTCCCCTCTCCCTCCCCTACCTTCTTATTCCTGTCCCCGCGTGCATCGGTCGGAAAAAAATCGATTTGGTCGTCACGGCAGGCGACAAAGATGATGTATGGATTGCTTTGTTCTTCTACATACAAACAGATCTCTCAATTGTTCGGGCATATCTCGAATGGGTAGTCTTTCTGTGTGTGTATTTATTTTTCCTTAATTCGGGCAGCATGCAAGAAAATCAGGATGATCGTATAAAACCGCGGGCGGGCTTTTGAGAAAGCCCAGTGCTACATGCGCTGAGAGCTTCCTTGTGGCCTCCCCCCCCTCCCCCCCCCCCATTATCCAGAGCGCGTCGTCTTCCCTTACCACCGTCTTGTTCCGTGGTTGAGCATTCAATACATGCTGATTCGGGGTTGGGGATGGCAGCTGGGGGGCGATTTTCAAATTCAAATTCATGTCGTCGACGTTTCATCTCCCCGTGGGTGCGAAGTGCGTCGGAGCGTCGGAACAAAATAAAAAGTAGCTACCACACACACCTCCCGACAAAACCATCTACCGTTTGGGTGACAGGCGTGGATTAACCCGTCGCCCCGCCCTCCCCGGAGCCGGCAGTGGTGCTCTCTGCTACCTCCAGGAAACAAACCTGAAAAGCTCTTGTAAGGAGGGAGGATGTTGGATTAGATCCACCTGTTCTTAATTTTAGCGTTCGTGTACGCACCAAATACAACGTAGGGGGATATCTGTTTTTTCCAACGGCCAAGTTCTGGGAACTCTGCTCTGTATTATGCATACGGGTGAATGCCGTCCCATTTCTTCACAGCTGTACCTACCTTTGCGTTTTTTTCTGGAGACGCATCATCAACCGGGGCCACACAGGAGCAAAGCCACAGACTGGGGTATTTTTTTTTGGCCTCCAGTGCTTGTCTTGGTTTGTTCGGGAGAAGAGAAGGATCAACGGTGCATTTTCCTCGTGTCATCGACCGCGAATCGAACGTGTTGCTTACAAAGGAATTATTTATAGGCTTTCCACAATCTCTTGTATTAAAGTAGCGAGAAACAAATCCACATCGTGTCACTGCGACGGGTACGGTAGTACGCGGGGAACATACGTGAGTTGTGTGCAGTATTAACTCGGCACTTTGAGCCGCAGTTGGCGCAGCGGCAATGCCCCTCTCGTATCCGTTCCCCCGCGGGCTATTCTTGTCGCGCCGCTGTCAACGATCCTCCTCAGTCTATTGAGCCGCTTGGACCTTCGACGTTCATCATGCAGTTACCTTCGCCGTCTTCTCCATTCCCATCCCTTCAAATACATGTCATATACCATATGCACTCAGAAGTAGCCCTTCTTTTTCTGTGTGTCGTCCCTCTTTTGAGCAGCAGCACAACACATGTTCATGTACAGCACCATCCTACCAGTATGCACTAAGCAGTAGCCTTCCCTTTTCTGTGCTGCCACCTTTTTTCGAGCAGCAGCAGCACCTCCGCCGGCACCAGGGGTCGCAGGAGGGCCGGCGGCGGCAGCCTCCGCGCCAAGCCGGCGGACCCGCCCTCCTCCTCGGCGGCCCCGGGTAAGGACAAGGAGGACGAGGAGCAGAGGAAGAAGAGCAGCGGCAGCAGCAGCAGCGGTGATGACGAAAAGCTCCGCCGCCGCCGCCACCCTGGCCGTGGCGCCACCGGCGGCTTCGGCCGCCAGAACACGCTCATCAAGCAGGCCGTCGAGGCGTGGGCCGACGAGTCGCTAGACCTTCGCCGTTTCCAGGGGAAGCGGGTGGGTGCTTTTTAAGCTTTTAAGGGGGGAACCGCATTTTTTTTTTTTGTGCCCCACGTGTGCTCTTTTTGGCAAACCTATACACACACGCCGCGAAAGGCGTCCTCTCGATAGTAAGTTGGACCGGTATGTGTGCAGATGCCGGAAGGTACTGAGCAGAGATGGGGTCGTTTTTTTGGTCGTGGATACAGCAGCAGCGAGCGCTTTGTCAATGGACGAATGGGTACGATTAGTGCAACCCCCCTCCCCCACTCCCCCCTCCTCCCCACCCCCCGCGCCCACCCATCGAAACTCACGCACACGGCCTCACGCTCGCGCATGAAACAAACATACGAAGGTTCACATCTGCAAGGCCGAGACCTTGCCCGAAGTCCTGTCGGAGTTCTGGAGCCTGGCCTCGATGATGGCGCAGGAGAAGTACTCGGCGATGGCCGGTGACCGCGACTACGCCGCCCACGCACTCTTCGTGGCTCCCCGCTGCGCCCTGCTCAAGGACTACGCGATGATGCGCCACCTGGTAAGTGTATTTACGGAAGAGAGAGAGAGAGAGAGAAAGAGAGAGAGAGAGAGTGCGAGAAAAGGCGAGAGAGAAAGAGAGAGGGAGAGGGAGAGACACACACGACGGGGGCGGAGTTTGTCAGAGTCAGGGGAAGAGTCAGTGGAGACAAAGACGTAACCTAGAAACAGCGAGCAGAACAGGAGGCGTTTGTTCTTGCACCTGTGGCTGGTGCACTTGTTAACCCTTGTTCGAGTTGAGATAGATGTGTCCGGTCCACGGGGGAGCTTGGTAAGAGAGGAACGGACACCGTCATGCGTTTCGTTTTTGGTGTTGGCGTACAGCCCCAGAGGCGCATCTTTCTTTCCTACCTCTCTACACATACATGGGTTGGGTAGGTCGAAGCAGTTTTGTGTAAGGAGCACCCTCTTGGGATATATCCCAGCCGTCGAGCCCCCCATGTACCGGCCCCGGAACAACGTAGCGTCTTAGAGGTTAACTGTAAGATGCTTTCGTCTAGAATTTATCGGGGGAGTTATGGTCCATCTCGAACCAATCGCAACAGCAACGTCGAACCTGGTACACAGCAGTGCATCTAGACCCAGGTAGGACCCGTCTCTGTCGGAAGAGAGTGGAACATGTTTCTTCATCGCTTCCTCCCCCGAGGGGCTGAAGGCCAGGAACTCACGGTTCGCTTTGGTTGCGCGTGTAGAGTCTCGCTCGACGGGACCTCCTCTAGCTGGTGCTTCTTGCTAGGGGCACGTCACGCGAGCAAGGCGGGCGTTCGGGGCAGCAGCAAGGCTAGGCCGTGCAGCTGTGGGACAGTTGTCAAGCATCGTGCTCGGTTCGAAGCAAGCGCGTGTTTGTGTTTTCAAGGCTCAACGGTGGTTCATGTGTGCCCCTGCTTCTTCCGCCGTGGGTGGCACCTCCCTCTCTCCCTCCCCCCTGGCTATTCTTGCGTTTTTTCCTTGGCTGAATACATACCCCGCGTCTCTTCCTCTCTCTTATTCTCCTTGTGCCATCTGGTGGCCTCCTCCTCCCTCTCTACCCCCTCCGTCCTCTCGAGGACGCGTGGAATGGTCTTGACAGCTGAGGCATGCGTACGCCTTTCCCCCCCCCCCTCCATGCTCCGTGACGTTTTCTCCCTTTTTATCCCGAACGGGACTGTCACAATATCCGTGTGTGTAGGACAAGGTCCTCGACTTCTGCTCCGGGGGGTGTAGCGACTTTGGCCGGACGGTGACCCTGCAGCACTACCACCCGGACTTCGTGCTCCCGCCCTCCCAGACCCGCAGCAGCAGTGCCGCCGCCGCCGTCGATGACAACAACAAGGGCCTCTCGCGATTTGTGAGTGAGAGAGAGAGAGAGAGAGAGAGAGAGAGAGAGAGAGAGAGAGAGCGGGTGGCATCGGTAGGAAGGACTCTCGGGAAAGATGATGGTGGAGGTCGTGGTTTGAGAGCCGCGTGCACGGCAGGGGATGCAGCAAGGACGCTCGAACTTTGGAGAAGTGATGAGATTTTGATTCGTCGGAACCGCCAGAAAACCGTGAGGTCTCACGGGTATACGGCGCCTCGCTGTAAAGTTTTGACGTATCGGCGTTACAGCATGTGTTGATTACTTGGTGCTTTTGCCTCGGGTTGTGCAGCCAACAAGCAAAGCTTCATGACCGGGCGTAACATGGCGGGCGCCGCTGATGTAATGTTTCATGTTGCACGGCCGCCCGAAATCGATCAACGAACACTCCCGCTCGATCGTACGACTCGCGTCCGTCGATGTTGTGTGGAAATGAAACGTTTCATGGCACACAGGCAGAAGAGAATCAAGCCATCGTTTCCTCTGGCGCAATAATCCTCTTCGTGGAAGTCGATTTCACCCTTCCGAACCCTGCTTGGTTTGACAGTGCAACGCCGATCGTTCCAGCGACCCCCCCTCCCACCCGCCTTCGCGCGCCCCTTGTTCCCTCCCTCTATCTCTCCATCGAATGTGTGCGCGCACGACGCAGGTTAACTTCTCGCGCGCGCCGTACCCGACGTTCGGCCTCACCGCCGCGGCCGGGAGCCTGGTCCGCTCCGAGCCCATCGAGAAGACCGACAAGATCGGGCACCTGAGGCTGGACCTGGAGCTGGTCTACAACTCGGTGGCGGGGCGAAGCACGGACGACTGCGTGGATTCTCACGGCTCGCCCCACGGGACGGTGAGAGAGAATAAGGCGAGGGGGGGGGGGGGGGGGGGGGGGGGGGTTCCCTAGGATCTCGGGGGGGGGGGGGGCCCCTTTT